AACCAAAGCCAGTCCCGCCACAGCCATCACCATCACCATCCCGCAGCCAACGTGTGGTTACACCGATCTCATTGGCAGCTATCAGTGAAAGTCAACCCACCGATCCCTAAAAGAATAAAACTGAAGAACGTCTTCAGCTTTGCATTTGTGTAACACAGAGGAGATTTGTAAAACACTGTTCAGACCAACTGCTGCGTTCATGTTTGGTCTGAAAATCAGTCAAATTCAACATTTACTTCATAAACAGAGGCCAAGGTGTATTATGTCCACCGCCTAAACGTGGAGATAACCCCGCGCTGGACGCTCACGTCATAAAACCCAGAAAAACAACAAATGTTTTTACTCATCGAACCAGGCCGTGTTTTCTGGACCGGGTGACTCATTCCTTCTGGTTTTTAAAGTCATCTCGCCACAGCATAAAGATCTGATTAGATGTTATTTGATTCCATAATTGCTGGAGCAAAGACACGCGCGCTAATTATGACAAATGATCAGGCTCCGACATTGTGAGAGTGTTTGACAGGCCCCACATAACCGTGAATTAACGACGTGACCGGGCCACTTCCTCTTGCATATTTCTCACACCCGCTGCGCCGATTTTTAGCCTTAAAAAAACAACAATAACACTCATTAACGCCTATAACGTTTCTGTCAACCTCTGCAAATGGGCCTCTGAGCAGAAGAGGAGGAGGAAGCGGGGAGCGTTTATTTACTCTCTCCATGGTGCGCCGGCGAGGGCGCGGGTGGGTTTCTACGCTTTCACGGAGGAGTATCCAAGTTGCAGTCCACTTCCATGTACGCAACGGCACGTTTTAACGCAAAGAATCTGGAAACAACAACTCTGGTTTTTCACGTTGGATTGTCAGGAGCAGCTCGGCGACCAGCACCCGCCTCACATCGGCCTGAATTGGTGCACACACGCAGAGGAATGAGCAGTGGTTGTGAAAATTGGCTTTTACCATAAATGACTGCAGATAATAATCACCAGACTACTAAAGGCGTTGTGCAGTCACTGTGCGACTCGCTCTAAATATTGATATCCGTTCTGGTTCCCTTTTCGGTCCTACATAAAAACGATGAAACGAGAACTGTGGCCTCATCTAGGTCAACAGTCACGAGAAAAAGATGTATCACCCCTGAGCTTGACTCGTAAGGCTGCTTCACCGAGCATGTCTACCAACACCACCACAGCTCGCTGACATCAAAGTGTTAATGGTAAATTAATGGCCGTTTTAAGGGGGAGCCGTCAGGGATGATGCATTGCCAACACTCACTAAGGATTCCTTCCATGCGCGCAGCTCCATTCATGCGCTCTGCGCGCGGACACACGCCAGAACATAATGAAAACAAAGCGAGTTTAGCTTCAGCCTATCATTACGACTACATTTACGTGAAAACTGCAGTGTTTTCCAGCACGGTTTCTTCCCACAGATGAGCTAAAGCTCATCAGAGAGGCATTTTTAATACTCAGTGACGAGATTAGAAGTTGTTTCTGAGCTTCTCTGCTCGGTCCCATCTGCTTTTCACTTACTCTCCTGCTGGGTTGTGTCGCTCCCGCTGGTCAGCCCCGGGGACTCCAGCATATTCCTCCCCGCCTCTCCGACGCTCTCTTCCGCCTGGGTCCCGACCATCTCCCCGGCCTCTTCCAGATCCAACAGGTGGCTGACCGAGAAGTTCTTTTTGGCTTGAAGGTTGTCCAAGTTAGACGTGATCGGACTCTCCAGGCGGTTTGATATTGTAGCTTGCCTGTCCATTACATGCGCATAGCTAGAAGTCATGACGCAAGTGGGGAACAGCGGAAAAAGCGGAGCGGTAAGAAGAAGAAGAAGGAGAAAAACAAGCGAGCCAAATAGATCCGTGCATGCAGAACGCACACGCAGCAGCGCCTCCTCAAACCAGCCAGAGAGACTCGGGTCTTCCGAGCAGAAGGCGGGTCTGTTCACATCCAGATCCGCCGCACGGAGCTCAAACAAACTTAGGCAAAGTTCTCTCCTCGCTTGTTTTTCCTGTGAAAACAACCCTACGGCCAATCCATCCACTGGAGCGCGTCAACAGGAAACCAGGTCGCCAGAAGAGACAGCTTTTCTTTCTCCTGCACTGCCTCAGAGCCACGTTCAAAGAAATGTGTCTGAGAAGTCCTCTGAGGAGAAGAAGAGCTCTCTTCCCACCCTGGTTGAGTCACATCTGAGCAGGAAGAGCTGCCGCTGCTGATGACGACCAGATGCGCAAAGCCCCGTGTGCGCGCAAAGATTGCTCAGCGGCAACTAGGCGCGGGGGGCAGGACGTTATCGCCGCGCCTCCAGGCTCCAAGGCTGTAGAGCCTCTCTCTCTCTCTCTTCTGAGGGCGGACACGCTCTTAATAGGGGCTCCGTAATTACGTGGCAGTGCCTTTATGCTGTCTGGCGTTTCATAGTACCCCCCCCCCCCAAACCACCAGTTAATTCCAGCCTAGCCCTGCCAGTCAGTGCGATCTGTCCACATGGGCTCCCGCTGTACATCAGGATCCACCTGAATCCGTTACGCAAATCAAGCGGCGGCTCAGGGCCACTAGGGGCCGTCTAATCTGTGCATTACACGTCACTGTATTGATCTGTTACAATATATATATACTGTATATATATGTGTGTGTGTGTGTGTGTGTGTGTGTTGTGTTATCATACAAACTGTTTGTAGCCCACAGAAGAGTCCTGATCTGAAAGCATGAACAAATCTGGAGACAGGAGTTTTTTACACCCTGGTGTCTGAAATGTTCCAACCTGGCTGGTTCTATTAAGAAACGACAGGTCGAACTTGTGGTCATTCAGTCACGCTGTTAAGGGACAGAGACCTTCATGAGCCACAAATTACAAGTGCGAGTCAAGTCTCTAATCCTTCATCTTCTTCTCTCTAATCCAAAAGTCATACAGCCTCTTCCAGTGCATTGTCTAAGAAGGGTTAACGGTGGCTCGATACTGTCCCTCTGAGCTGCCATGGACCAACTGTTACGCTCTGTGAACCTGCAGATAAACAAGGAAACTGAATCTAAATATAGATGCTATATACACTTCAGTGACCTGAAAACTACATTAGCTACATCAGAAAGGTGAGGAGCCGACCACGAGCCAACACAACTGACCTCTTTATATTGTATCCCCGGGACAACATCGGTCACCAGCACAGCTGGCACAACTGGCATGTGCTGTTTTTGCGCCACACGCCGGTGGTTGGCAGACACACGCTGTGATGCTATTAAGGGCCACAGAGGGTCCTCCTACAGAAACGTTCAAGACTGAATGTTCACGAGTCCCACTCAAGTCTGGAGTCAGTTAGGTGTGAGTCAAATTGGAAGTTTATTTGTCTGGGACTCGAGTGCGACTAGTGCACTGATTAGGACATAAAGGCCAGTGGGCTCTGACCATGGAGATAGTTTTATTTTCAAGAAAACAGAGATTTATCACCAAAATCTATAGCTTTACAGAACTTTGTTGCCTTTTTTAAGCTCCTGGTCTTGTGGCACATTTCCTGTTTGGTTCAGTGTCAGTGTTTCCAGCAGCTGTTTTCCCCAAACCGGTTCCAATAAACCCATTGTCCACTGCTTGGCCAGTACCAAAGAGCAGGCAGACAGAGACTTTCTGGTGAACTAGTGGAACATTTAGCAGCTAGATGTTTTTCTCTGGAGTGGGTGGAGACCAAAACCAGACCTACAGAGGGAGTGAATGCTGGCCTCATTGCTGCCACGTGGCCAGAAACAGTTACGATCTGTGCGACTGTTGCTCTATAATGTGTAAATATGTAACTGATTGCTCACAAGTTTGTCTAATAAGTCAGGGTTTGTTTCACCGCTGACAAAAAGTCACGCCATTCTGCTACAAAGAATTAAACAGCTACATGGCTTTTGAGGGCCTCCGCTACTCTGGAGCAGCCATAGCAAAGCTTTGTTTTCTGAACTGACCCTTTAAACAGATCAGCTGTTGCTGAACCCACAAGGGGGTTTAGCTCGTCAGACCAGTGATTGGGACTGACTGGTCCAGTCCAGTCAGTGGCCTGATAACCGACACGTTGGCTGGTCTACAGGGATTCTTGTCCTCTAGTCGTCATCATGTTCTGCTAAATGTTACTCCTGACGCTGGTTCAGCTATACTGAGGTTTGTAGAACTGAAATGACTTGTCCTTAGTGCAGTAACAGGTTCACACAGCTCTTAGTCAACAGCCATCAGGCCTGCAATTGAAACAATCAGCCACACAGGTGTGTGAATCTCAGGTACTTTACAGAGGCCAGTTCGGAGTAGTGCCTCTCAAAGTGTCACAAAAATGAACATCGGAAAGTCCCCTGTCTGGGGATTTGGGGGAATTTTCTTATAGGTT